GGTGAGTGCTCTACCGCTAAGCCACAAGTTTAGCCCATGAGTTGCTTTTTTAACTTTTTTTTCAAGATTTTCTCTTTTTGTAGTTTGATTATGATATGTGGGTGTGAATCTCTTTTAGTTTATCCTACTTGAAGTTCATTGAGTTTCTTGAAAGTATGAATTAATGTTCTTCATAAAGATGGGGATGTTTCACCATTATTTCAAGTATTCTTTCTCTCCTGCCCTGAGATTTCATTGTGTACGAGTTGGTATGATTTCAGTTGCTCTATCTTCAAGTTCACTGATTTTTCTTTTTTTCATGCCTGTCTAAATTTGCTTGAATGCCTGTAGGGAAGTTTAATTTCAGTTATTGAACTTTTCAACTCCAGAACTTGTTTGGTTCTTTTCTATAATTTCTGAGTTTTTATTAATAGTCTTTATTTGGTGAGGCATCATTCTCATTCTTTCCATTGTGGGTTTTTTTTTTATGATTACTTTTAGCTCTTTGAAGATATTTGAAACAGCTGATTTAAAATCTTTGCCTAGTAAATCCAAAGTTTGGTCCTCCTCAGGGATGGTTGTCACTGTTTATGGCATGCACTTTCCATCTTCTAAACTACACTGGCTGTCCAAACTCCAATTAGGCAGTCTGTATGCTAGCCAGTAGGAAGAAAGGCTGAAGACAGACACCCTCTTAACCATACTTCCTAGAAATCTCATATGCCTTGGTCTTAGGCCCATTGGTCAGAGTGTTATCATATAATTGCACCTAATTTCAAGGAAGGCTGGAAATTGTAGTAAATCAAGTAAGTGAGGTCATTCTTTCCCTGGATCTTTTATTATTAAGGAGGACAGAAAAGGGATTTATGGTATAATTAGACTGTAGTAAAAGAGCAGAATTCTATCTCTTCAGTTGTTTTAACATCTCAGCCTACTACTCTTCTTAATACACACATGTGTGTGTACACACACACACACACACACACACACACACACACACACACACCCCTCCAAGATGAGCTACCCAGTATTTTGTTTGGCTGTTACATGCAGCTGAAAGTTCAGGATGTCTGGGTAATGTGCAGTCTTCTTTGTCAGGTGTGGTTCAGGGTCTATAAGCTAGAAGACAAGATAATTGCTCCCCAAACCATTAGTGTACATAAGTGTGATAGAATATAGGAAGTAACAAGAAAAGATTATCATCATTTAGGAAAGGAGAGAATTAGTAACAGAAGAGTCACTGGTCTGAAGCAGTTACTAAATGCTACTGTGTAGGATATTTGAAGACCTTCTGTCCACAGACTAATAAACTCCTGTATTAAATATTGTTTTTAAACCTGAGGACTCTGGTCTTTTACATACTCACCTTGGTGTCTCCTGCCCTACCTTAACTTAATGACAGTTCAAGCCATCTGAAACAATGGGCTTCTGTGAGAAAGCAATGCTAACTCTCTCTGCCTTTGGGGAGGACAAAGTTTGGTCTTCCTCAGGGATGGTTGTCATTGTTGTCACTGTTTTCAGCATGCCTTTTCCATCTTCTAAACTACAGTAGTTGTCTAGGCTCTAATTATGCAGTCTATATGCTAGTCAGCAGGAAGAAAGGCTGAAGACAAACACCCTCTTAACTATTCTTCCTAGAAATCTCATATGCTGCTGCTTTCTTTTTGGTGGTGGAGCTGGAGTTTGAACCCAGGGCTAGGCTTGTATTCTACCACTGAGCCATACCTCCAGCCCCACTTCCTGCTTCATATTGATAGTTTCTGCTACGCATTTTTTCCCCCAGTACTGGAGATTGAACCTAGGGCTTCAACATCCTAGGTAAACACTGAACCACTGGGCTGCATTCCCAGCCCCACTTTTTTGGTGCCATCTAAGACATTTGAGTTACTAAATTCAGATGATTTTTCTCTTAGATATGGATCTTCAGTGCACTTCCTTTTTCCTTAGTCAATTTGGAACCTTTCCATTTTAAGATGTATGTATATCATCAACAAAATATTCAAAGATTCTCATGCTGCTGGTGTGCATTTGTTTTTGGTTATCTGTACCATGCTCTTGCCTATGCAGATGACTTCAGAATACATAGCCCTGATTGTGGACTTGTGTACTGGGTCATTTTTATGAATTTTTACAATAATTGCTCTTAGATTTAGTTGCAGAGTTGAAACTGTTGTAGTGCTATGGAGAGCACTTTTTTTTCCTCTTCTTAAAAGTGGTACTAGGGATGGAACCCAGGACCTTGTGTATGATAAACAAGTGCTTTACCACTGAGCTACATCCCCAGCCCTAGAGAACACTTGTTGTTTTGAAAACACATGTTGGTTAACAATGGTTATGCTTCTCAGAAATGTGTTGTTAGCCATTTTGTTGCCATCCATATCACAGAGTGTGCTTATACAAATATGGAATTACTGTCATATATATATAGTCTGTTGTTGACCAGAGTGGTGTTATGTGGGGCATGATGGTATTTTTCTTTTTTTTGGTTTAGAATAGGAGCATCTTTACCTCTACTCTCTCTCTCCTCTTTGTTTCAAAGCTTTAAATGTAATTGTGTGGAGTTTAAAATTGTATTAGACTATCTGTTACATTTTATTCCAGAAATTCTCAGCACCTTTTTTAGAATATTAATTGGGTAAGAGTAATACTATTTGAAGCAAGAGGCTGTCAGAAGGAATAATAATGAGCCATGACTTAGGAGCTATTTTTATTTAAGTTGTCAAGGTGTATTATGTTTTCAGAGGTTCTATGTTTATTGAAGACTTTAATAATCATGAGAAAATGAAAAGGCATTTTAAACCACAATCTTTTTTTTAAGGATTTTTTTTAACACAATACCTTTAATTAATAAATTAATTAATTAAATTTTCTATGTTGCTGAGGATTGAACCGAGGGCCTCGAACATGCCAGGCGAGTGCTCTACCACTGAGCCATGACTTCAGCCCTTTAAACCACAAACTTTGTTCTGTATTCCATGAAGGTAACTTGAAGAGCCATTGCTTTTTATTTTTTTAAATTTATTTTTTAGTTGTAGTTGGACACAACTCCTTTATTTCACTTGTTTATATATTTTTTATGTGGTGCTGAGGATCAAACCCAGGGTCTCGAATGTGTGAGGCGAGCTGAGCCACA